TCCCAACCCCGAGAATTTTCTCCTCGAACTAGGTTCAAAAGGATGTTCCCTGTGTTAATATCCATACATATGAGATCTACAGTTCACAAGGGCTTCGCTATGCAAAATGGAACCATGTTATAGAATTAGGGGTGTGGTAGACCAGCCTTTCGCCCTGGAACAATTCCCATGCACAAAGAGACAAAGTTAGCACTTTTCGCAGATGCAGGGGCTGCCCCTCACAAATTTACAGGTGCAAGGGAAGGAGGCCACCTTGGAGCCCTCACTCCCTAGGTCGAACGCCACAAGGGGTGGCCCCTCCCAAAATCCTAGGTCGCATCTAGGAGGCTTGGCCTCCAAGCCAAAGGGGAGCACCCCACTCATGGGCCAATAGAACCATGTTGCTTCCCCCTACTTGGGCCTAGCCAAAAGGGGTAGCCCATGGTGGCCTATATATGTTTTCAGGAGGCGGAACCCTCCTTGACCCTCTAGTGATTTTCCGGTCTCCCGGGACTTTCCAGGTTTTCTGAAACTTCTTTGGTGTTCTCCGAAGCACTTCCGGTTCTCTCTTTGAAACATTTTTTATCTTCCCAAAACTTTTCCAGTGAATTTCTCTCAAGCTCCTAACACTTCTGGTACTCAACATACTAGTGAACCTTAAGCGTCTGATCCCGTAGGTTCAGTAAATTGTAGACATGACCCGAAACTCCTTCCGGTCAATAATCAATAGTGGGATCTGGGCATCCATTTTGACTCGTGAACTTATACAAATAAAATATTTTGTTTTTGCACATCAATCATTTTGCTTCATGATACTTAACAAAACCTGAGGTGGGACTTTGGGTATCCGTGTGAAGCAACAACTTGATTACTATACCAAGTTCTCCTCGTTACTGGTTTTGTTCCTTTTTCCCATTTACGTATTCCAGCATCCCCATGATCAATCACGCTTTTTCTGGTAAGACGATGATGGATACCAAAATACCGAGAGGTCCCGAAGAATATCTCTTCATCGTTTGGGGGGGGGGGGCAAATCTCAGTCTTGAGCTATCAAGTCCCTGGACATACTTTTCCGATGCACAGGAAGTTGTTGTTATAATCACCATATTATGGGGAACGTTTGACAAACCACAAAGTACACCGTCCGACATGAAGGTCCTCGCTACTATTATGGTCTAAGTAACCGAGCATACGTCAAAAAATGCATGGATATACTTAAAATACTATGATGATGTGATCTCGATGTTTATCATTTAGTTGGGTGTATCCAGCATAGTTCTGCCAACAATGTGCTCCCATTATTATCGACGTCCTTGTCACTTGAAAATTACCCTATGATAAGGAAAATGGGCACATCATGCAACACATGAGCTAGTCCTAGGGGCGAGAGTAGGGAACTACTTGGTTTTTATGTTTTCACACGTGCAACTGGGTTTTCTATGAATATCATATTCAACAACAAATGTAGTTATAGCATGAAACGTAAACATTAATTACGAACATGGAAAAATAACATTGTTATTGCCTCTAGGGCATATTTCCTTCAATAGGTGACTATGGTGTGGTCGCTCGCGGGGGGCTTCATGGAGGCATAGGGGAACGGGGCACCTTCGGCTAACGTTGGCCATGGCACTAGTTCATGCCTCCCGTCTGCTTGACGACAAGAGGGAGCCGGTGAGGTGGGCTGAGCCTGCTGAGGAGTTAGGTGAGGCCGAGTGGCGTGATGCTTAGCGGTTCTCGCTTTTAGAATAGGGTTGGGCCGGATAGGTTTCGGTTTAAAAGGCTTTTCCCTTTTTCTTTTTATAGAATTAGGGAATATGATAGATATGGGCCAAATAATTTTCAAATAAGATGAAATTCTTATGGTGGTCTCTCTGACATTCAAAGCTACACTAAAATATCCAAAAATTTGACAAGGATTTGAATTTAAATGAGGGAAATGATATAATGGTGGTTTGAACTAGACGTATGAGAAAGAAGTGTGCTAAATTTCCAAAAAATTAGGATAACTCTAATATGACAAAAGAACACCATGTGCCAAGTTTGGGAGTGAGTCTCGAGGGTAGTAGCAATATTAATTCAGGGTTGAAATAATAAAAATGGTGTGGGATTAGCATGAACACGTTAAGTTAAATGATATTCGATGGTGGCATGATGTCATGATGATACAGGAAAAAAGTGCAAAGTGGTTAGGATATTACTCTGTGGCGACTTCGTCACTCTCAAGATGATGTACCGGCTCCGTTTCGGAGGCGCTCATAAGGATAAGATGCGCATGCGTGCATTCATAAAGATAGTGCATGTGCGTATATACGAGCATTTGCGTTGTACTGTGTAAAAGAAACATACCTAAGTTCTACATAGTTGTATATATGAAATATTTTAAGATCCAGCTCAGTCTTGTTTTCCGGCCAAAATACGTATCAGTTACTAGCCTCACTAATCTTAATGCATTTGATCTTTGCGTCATGGGCGCAACTGGTGGTCTAGTGTACTTAACCTAGAACAATACCCATGTGAAACGGTACTATCAGGAGCTAGAGTACAACACATCAGAATTTTGAAGGTACAAGGAAAACTTTATTATTGCCTATTTTTATAACCGTTGTATTATTGCTCTTTTCCCTTTTTTTCTTGGCGAGCAGAGAGCCTCCATCTTCTTTCTTCGGCGAGGAGTGAAAGCAAGAACGTGAAACGCAAAAACATCCAGATGGAAAAGGAGCGATTTGTGGGAGAAAAGGAAAAAAGAAAAAGAAAAGAGAAGAAAAAGGAAAGGAAAGATTTTCCGGCCCTGTCTGTGCGTAACGTGGCCAATACTCCAAGGTAACAGGCCGAGACGAGCGCCGAGCGCGGACTTTATTCCGCCCTTTTCCGCGACGGCATGTGATTTTCCCATCACTATTGCTTGCGGCGCAGAACAGTCGAGCAGAGAGAAGCATCAATCCATGTTGCTGCGGCCTTGTTATCTCGTGCCGCCACGCCTCCCGGAATATTCCTCGCAGTCCACACATCCCAATCTACTTCTTCTAAATACCGGCAGAATGCAATGTATATACTCCTGTATCACCATTTATTAGTCAGGAAAAGGAGTAGTATATCGTATTGTATTGTATTTTTGTACCTGAACCCTACTTGAATCTGGGAAGTACGGGTCGTGTACGCGAGCGAGACAGCAACAGACTTGCGCTTGACTCAAGAACCCGACAGGCCCTGAGGCTGACCGCCCAGTTCATGATCGCCTCGAGAGCCGCCAAGGCTACGTGCACGCCCACCACTGTGCGCCCGTGCATGGATTCGCCGCGGCAAAAGCCCTCTGGTGTTGCAGAGGGAGGCGGGAATTATTTACTTACGTTTTTTTGTTTGTTTACACGCCACCCCTTAATTAGCTGCGGCGTGCTAATCGAACTCTAAGTAGCGCACTTAATTTCCGAGTAACTGCTAAGTTAGGTGGCACTGGATAGTACGAGTACGTACCAGCGCCACTTTGGTCCTGGCCTCGGCGCAAGGACGTTTGTGTAGGACGAGAGCAAAAGGGTCACGCCATCAATCGCCTTTCCTTTTTTCCGGCTGTTGAAAAGAGAAGGGGTCACGCCACGACGCCATCAGCCCGCCCGTCCGCGGAGGCCTCATCGTCCCATGCCTCAGGCGGCAAAACAAAAGGTGATGGGATTAAAGAAAGAAAGGCGCAGCCGCAGGACAAGCTAGCTGGCCGTGTTGTACTGCTAATTGGCCTCCTCTACGATCTCATCATCAAGTTAAGTTAAGCTGAGTTAGCCCCTGGGGCAAGCTGTCCCGTCAGTTAGCTTGCCCGGTGCACGGGATAGTGTTGTGTTGTCCACAGCCGCAAGGCTCGTCCGTCCGTCCGTCCTGCGCACGGGACGGGTCCTCCCCTTTTGCCAGCCGGCTGGCAAGTGGCAGGCGCCGCGCGCGGCCACATTGGCGCCCGCAGTGCGCTGCATTTACGTGCCTTTCGTCGCCCCGCCCTGCGCATGCTGCCACCGCCCCTGCGCGGCATGGCATGGCATGGCGCCGCGGATAAGCGAAGCCCCTGGAGCTAGCGCGCTGCTACAGTACGCGCCACGCGCACGCGGCGACGGCACGGGCACGGGCAGCGCGGCCAGACTCGGTTCCGGTGCGGGTTTTGGACGGGCTCGTACGTGCGCGGGAAGCGCTGCCCTCGAGGTTCCTGCCGGAGCCGGAGCGCGACGGCGGCGCGCGGGGATCCGTAGCCCCACCGCGGGCCGGGCCGGGGTCGTGGGGGTTTGGCGAGACCGGGCGGGCATTAACAACTCTTTTTTCTCTCCCCTTGTGTTACAGTAGCCCGGGAGCCCGCTTTTTCACGCGGCAACCGTCGCTTTCCCTCCCGGTGGCACAGCGCGCCGCAGCTTTCAAGCCATTGTAGACTCGCTGTACCACCGCCACTGCAGCGCCGCGCCAAGCGAGATCAATCAATGGTTTCCGGTGCTCGTAGGCCTGTGGAGCTGCGTGCGTTGCATGGCCTTGACGACGACGAATCCTGCCGTTGCGTGGGCCGCTGCTGACGACGACCGGGGAGTAAAATGGGATTGCTTAAACGTCGCTCTCCGCTTGTCAAGTCCGGGAAAAGTCCCAAAGTAATATGCATAAATATCGCTGTCAATTTGGTTCATATCTCGCGAGATCGCCCTTTTACCGCTAAACAAATAAATAGGACATAAAAGGTAAGGTAAGATAAGATGCTTGTTAATTATACATATTCTTGTCCCCCAAATCAAGCAAGGCGAGCGGAGGAAAAGAAACTAACTTTATACAGTCTCGCGCATCCTAATTTTGGTAAAGGAAAAGTAAAAACGCAGCGAGGGGAGGAGGCAGAGGGAGCCGGAACGGAACTTGGAAAAGAAGAAAGGAAAAACACAGCGGAGCAGCACCGGACGGACGGAGGAAGACGACGACGGCGACGTCCTAGATAGTAGTAAGATGATTGACGGAACGAGGTGCATTTCCATGTCTCCGATCGGCCCAATCACGAAGTAGTAAGCGCCATGTGTGAAGCGACTGGAACGGTGGGAACCTTCTGCTGCAGCGACGATGATCAGTACTCCCACAGGAGTGGCTCCTCGAGGCGGAACACGCCGGCGCCGACGATGTCCTCGTCGACGACCCAGGACGACGCGCACGGGAGGCCCGCCGAGGCCTCATATCTCAGGTCCAGGAGCAGGTCGGGGAGGTCGAACAGGGCGTCTTCCGGGTCTTGGACCGGCTCGGCGTGCGGTGCAGGCGGGGGCGGCGGCGAGACCGCGCTGGCGTCGGAGGCGCTGTCGGGGCTCTTGGCATTGGCACTGGCGCCGCAGGGGAAGTCGGCGGAGGCGGCGAGTATGGCGGCCGCCTGGACGTCCTTGGGCGCGGCGCTGGCCGGGCGGGGCAGCAGGTGCGCGAGGTCCGGGAAGTTGAGGTGCGCGGCGCGGCCCTTGATGGCGAGCGTGGCCACGTCGTGCGCGCGCGCGGCCATCTCGGCGGTGGCGAAGGTGCCGAGCCAGATGCGCGACTTCTTGCGAGGCTCCCTGATCTCGGACACCCACTTGCCCCAGCTCCGCATGCGCACGCCGTGGTAGGTCGGGTGCCGGCTGTCCTTGCGCGGCCGCTTGTTCGCGGCGACGGAGGAGGAGGACGACGAGGAAGACGAGGAGGAGGTGGCCGTCGGGGAGGTCGGGGAGCCGGGCTCGGCGATGTCGTCCATGGCCGCGGCGGTGGTGGTGGAGGAGTAGGTAGGCAGGGGAGGGCAGGGGAGAGTGGTGGAGTGCCGAGTGGAGGTTGGAGGGGAATAGCGGGGTTTTATGGTGCGGCCGCGGAGGGGGCGACGTGGCGCGGTGGAGAGAAAATTGCGGGGAAAAACAATGGGAAGTGCTGAAATTTGAACCCATGCGTAAGGAAAGATCTCTCGCCCGGCTGGAGAGCACAGCGTTTTCTTGGACAAGACAGCTTACTTCACGCGCCTCTGGGATTATTCTCTTCGAGAAGCGTTCATTGAACCGGATCGACCAGGGGGGTGGGCTGGCTGGACTTATTATTTACACCCGGCCCATCAAGACTATGCAGTACCGGAATTGTTCATGTATGTGATGCTTTATGAATGTGAAATGCGGTGAACTCAGCCCAGCTCAGTGTGGATGAGATTCATGTAGTAGTACGGGTATCAGATAATATTGCCAAAAATAAGAGTATCAAATACCTCAGGGGTGTTTAATTCCTCGAACCTGCTATTCATTTCTTCACTGGACTTGTGAGTGAAATGTTTTATTTTACAAAATCAAACGCTTTGCACATTGCGTGGTAGTAGCAAAGCTCAAAGATGTTCCAAGTGGAAGACCACCGTGTCCATAAATCTCATTTTACACACTTAAATGATTACTAGTTTATTTATTTATTACGAAAGTGATCCAGATCTATTATCAAAGTTCACCGAAAGTACAAAACCACCTTAGAGATAATAAAAATATATCCATATACCGAGACCACGAAACGACCGCGTATGGACATAGATCACAAAATAATATCAGTCACGCGCTGGCTGCGTATGGACGTAGTATCCCGCGCACGGCTGTGTGGTCACGATCGGGATTAGACTGCATTGTGAACCTTTCAGAGGCCGAGAAGCCTCGTTGAATGAATGAAATCTTCCTTTATCCCGCAAAAAAGAGACCACCAAACGACCACTACCGCTGTCAGAATGAGCCGGCCTTCGTCGTTGTCGCTGCTCCCCTACCGGAGCCGGCTTGACCTTATCGATGACAACCAGGAAGTCTTCATGTATGTGCCACCAAGGACCAACATCCTACGACCGCAGTCACTGTTGAACTCTTGAACAGATTTGAAAATCTTGAGAGCAAATCTTGCCACATGACGAGAAATCCTAACCTCACTACTCCAAGGATACGACAGGAATCTATGCCGGGGCTTCGTCGACTACATCTAGATGGACGAATAAGAGGAGGAGTGGAGCCCAGAAGACAAACTTGAAGAAGAAGCGTCCCCATCCATCAATGCGCCTCGCCCGCGAGGACTGAAAAACAACAATTTAAATTACTAACCAGAGAGGAGGCACCGGAATTCCCCATCCTGCCACCGGCCGCCGAAGCGACGGACAATGGAGAGGCGAATCCTTGGGCTCACCGGCAAAGCCTGAAGGGGAAAATGGCTTTAGCCCCCAATGGATATGGGAGGGTAAGATAACCCCTAGATTGGTTCTCTCCTCCAGTAAGTGTTATAATTTATTACAAGGTCTTTCTTTAGACAAAAGAAAATGGTTTTACTTGCTTTAATTATTATTTTACAAAGAAAACAACCTCCTGAAATCTCTTGAAAGAATAGAAAAACTATGCTCAAATATCTACAATATCATTTTATTTTAATTTTTTATATGCATCCCCAAAGCGGTCCACCTGTTTCACAAAAGCTTGCATAAATGACCTAACGACGGGCTTGCCTACGAAATTCGATCTTTTGCAATTGAACATTTGTTGATCAAATGTGTTGGGAGACAGTTCGTTGTTGCCTCTACGACCCTAACTCGCAAAAGTACATGTGAATGACTTATCGACAGGCTGGCATGACTATGATTTTGTATTATGCGAATTGCCGACAAAACATGTTCGTTGGAATTATGAGGCTTGCCGCTTTGCTGAAAAGATGGTTGGGAGTGATAAATAAAAACCTTAGGAAGTGACATTTTGTAGTGTATCACTTGGGCTGAATAAAAACTTGCCAACCATGTACCCTATCCTTATATTGAACTTAAAAGTGTTGACCTTCCAAATGTAACTCCATATAAACAAGTATGACACGTCTAAATTATGGTGTGCTATTCTTTTATGAAATGTTTTATTATTTAATCATACTTCATATACCTAAAAACCAAGAGATGTTTAATGTGAAGAAGAATAGCATCGAACACACCCCCATGATCCCATCGAAAGTGTGTCTAACCTCCTAATGATGTTTGGTATTGATGACATACAATTATAGAGACCAATGTGTTTGCAAATTGCATTATCATGTTTGAAAGGATCGAGAGTCGACTAGAGGGGGAGGGGGTTAATAGGAGACTACCAATTTTCAGCTTAACTTCCAAATGTTAGGAATGCAGATAAATTAGGTTATCTAGATATGCAACTAGATGAACACAACCTATATGGCAAGGAAGCTCAGTGCCAGGTATGTTAGGCAAGTATATAATTAGCAAGCTGACAAGCATGCAAAACAAGTAAAGGTACGAAAAATGATTAACTACAAGTGAGTCGAGGACATGGATTTCATCCCGAAGTTCACACTTTTTGGGAAGTGCTAATCTCCGTTGGAGTGGTGTCAAAGACAAAGCCCAGAAATGCTAGCATGTGTCTCATCGTATCCTCCCTTCGAGTCATGCCAACACATGGGCCTCTAATAACTCAGGGTTGGTCTTGAAGGCGACCACCACAGCTTTACTGTCTAGGAGCCCAAGCTCCAAGAGTAACAAGTGTTGATGAAGAAATCAAGCGGGGAACACAAAATGGTTTCGTGGAAGTGTAGACCGAGTCTTGCTCTCTCTATCACCAAAGAATAAACAAGTTCGGGTGGATGAACAGTGAGTATAAATTAATGAAGCAAATATGCCCTAGAGGCAATAATAATTTTTTTCCTTATTTCATGATAAATGTTTATTATTCATGCTAGAATTGTATTAACCGGAAACTTAGTACATGTGTGAATACATAGACAAAACAAAGTGTCCCTAGTATGCCTTTACTTGACTAGTTCGTTTATCAAAGATGGTTATGTTTCCTAACCATAGAAATGTGTTGTCATTTGATGAACGAGATCATATCATTTGGAGAATGATTTGATGGACAAGACCCATTTGTTAGCTTAGCATTATGATCGTTACAGTTTCATTGCTACTGCTTTCTTCATGACTTATACATGTTCCTCAGACTATGAGATTATGCAACTCCCGAATACCATAGGAACACCTTTTGTGCTATCAAACGTCACAACGTAACTGGGTGATTATAAAGATGCTCTACAGGTGTCTCCGATGGTGTTTGTTGAGTTGACATAGATCGAGATTAGGATTTGTCACTCTGTGTATCGGAGAGGTATCTCTGGGCCCTCTCGATAATGCACATCACTATAAGACTTGCAAGCAATGTGACTAATGAGTTAGTTGTGGGATGATGCATTACATAACGAGTAAAGAGACTTGCCGGTAACGAGATTGAACTAGGTATGATGATACCGACAATCGAATCTCGGGCAAGTAACATACCGATGACAAAGGGAACAACATATGCTGTTATGCAGTTTGACCGATAAAGATCTTCGTAGAATATGTAGGAGCCAATATGAGCATCCAAGTTGTGCTATTGGTTATTGACCAGAGATGTGTCTCGGTCATGTCTACATAGTTCTCGAACCCGTAGGGTCCGCACGCTTAGCATTCTGTGACAATTTGTATTATGAGGTATGTGACATGATGACTGAAGTTTGTTCGGAGTCCCGGATGAGATCGGGGACATGACGAGGAGTCTCAAAAATGGTCGACACGTAAAGATCGATATATTGGAAGGCTATATTCGGACATCGGAAAGGTTCCGAGTGATTCGGGAATTTTTCGGAGTACCGGAGAGTTAGGGGAATTCGTATTGGGCCTTAATGGGCCATACAGGGAAGGAGAGAAAGGCCTCAAGGGTGGCCGCACCCCTTCCCCATGGACTGGTTCTAATTGGACTAGGAAAAGGGGGCGCCCCTTCCTTCCTTCTCCATCTCCCTTCCCTTTTTCCTATTCCATGTGGGAGGTGTAATCCTACTAGGACTCCACACTTTGGGCGCGCCCTATGAGGGCCGGCCTCCTCCTCCCTCCATCCTTTATATATGTGGCCAGGGGGCACCTCATAAACACACAAGTTGATCATTGATCTTTTAGCCGTGTGCGGTGCCCCCTCCACCATAATCCACCTCGGTCATATCGTAGCGGTGCTTAGGCGAAGCCCTGTTCCGGTAGCATCATCATCACTGTCATCATGCCGTCGTGCTGACGAAGCTCTCCCTCAACACTCTGCTGGATCGTGAGTTCGTGGGACGTCACCGAGCCGAACGTGTGCAGATCGCGGAGGTGTCGTACTTTCGGTGCTAGGATCGGTCGATCGTGAAGACGTATGACTACATCAACCGCGTTGTCATAATGCTTCCGCTTATGATCTACGAGGGTACGTGGACTATACTCTCCCCTCTCGTTGCTATGCATCACCATGATCTTGCGTGTGCGTAGGATTTTTTTGAAATTACTGCGTTCCCCAACAATTAACCCGTACGGGGTGTCCAGAGACTTAATCTTGACACTGTGGGCACGACTCTTGGCCCCCGTGGGAATGGCTCTTGGACTCCGTGGTCACAGGGTAAGGTGGCTAGTGACACACATGTGATGTGAAAGTACATTCAGTCCCCATGTGTGATTTTGGTAATTAGTGACGACCCCTATGGGCTAGTATTTTCCATTGAGATTCATTTCAAGGGAAGTTCCGTGGGCAATGCATGAAGAATATTGGATGGATTGATGAAAACCATCAAGATTAATGTATGCATTTGTATGGAAGAACAATTGGATCAACATATATATGAAGATATGTTCCACATGTGATGCTGATAACCCACAAGTGTAGGGGGTCAGTTGTAGCCTCTTTCGATAAGTAAGTGTGTCGAGCCCAACGAGGAGATAAAGATAGAACAAATATTCCCTCAAGTTCAATCGACCACCAATACAACTCTACGCACGCTTAACGTTCGCTTTACCTTGAACAAGTATGAAACTAGAAGTACTTTGAGGTGTTGTGGGATAGGTTTGCAACAAAATAAAAAGCACGTAAATAAAAACTAGGGGCTATTTATATAAATAAACAATTAAGTGAGTATAGCGAGTGTGGAAAAGTGGTGGTAGGAGTTGCGGAATTGTCCCTAAGGAATTGACTACGTTACTAGACCGATAGCAAGTTTTATGTGGGAGAGGCCACTGCTAGCATGTCATCCCTTACTTGGAATTCTATGCACTTATGACTGGAACTCCAGCAAGCATCCGCAACTACTATCATTCATTAAGGTAAAACCCATCCATAGCCTTAAGATATATTGGTCCCCCTTCAATACCGTATGCATCAATTTCTATGCCAGGCTGAAGCTGCTGTCACCCTTACCCTCCAATACACAGTCCTATCA